TTTTTTTTTTTCTCTGAAAGAGAACATTTTATCGTAACACGCTTCTTTAGAACGAAGAGATTTCGTTCTGTGAAAAATGCTGAACCACTGTTCGATTGATGCGGAAGTTTTGATCCAATATTAACATGGTATAACGAAATAACGAAATAAAAACAATTTTATTAAGGTCGCAGAAGGTTAAAAACGAAAGAATCCGAACGTGAAACGAAATTGAAAAGAATATGAGGTAAAAAAACGTGAAACTAATAAACTCGGGAGATCGAAGAATGACGTACACGTTACTGGTATTGTTCGTATCATAATACTTATTATTCACTAATGATACTTGTCCATGGCTTGTCATTCATAAAAATGCACGAGTGTCTGTATAACGTGTGGCGTGATGGTTTGATTCGCAGTGTCTTCGTGTTGTGAAGTGTGAGAAGGGTCGATCGATCGATCGATACAAATGGTTTTTCGTCGAACGCGTGCGCATGTGCGCGCGCTCGCACGCGCGCGTGTGTGTAGTGTGAATCTGAAACGTTCGCAAGTAAAAGTTAATTACGAAGAGACGAGGACGGGAGTATTGATACGATCGTATGTGTATATATATCTTATCGTCTTGGTATCAAACCGAGGAGAGAAAGACGTGAAATCAACGTGAATGTATTATATACAACGTCGCAACGTTACAATGCCTTTCGATAATAACAGTTAAAAAACCTATTCTTTTAATCGATATAATAGTTTAACAAACACAGCCTCGCGGTTCGTGAAAACTTAATCGATTATACAACGGAAGATCGTTTTGATCGAGAACGAGTTCCGAACGTGTTTCGTCTTCTTTCTTTCCTTTTCTTTCTTTTAATTTCTTCCACCTTCGTTTCCATCCTTTTCTTCTTTCCGCATGCCTTCTTTTCCACCATACACTTAAAATACGTTTAACATATCCTTCTACTAGTATGATTTTTCGAAGAGTTTAAAATACTTTACTTTTTTTTTTTTCGTTTTTTTTTTTTTTCTGCGATGCGAGCTGGCTACAGTGGAAACGAAAGGACACGCTAGCGATTACCTATAACGTTCAGCTACAATGTCTAAGATACTCTTGCACCCCTTGCAGTCGAAGCATCCACTCCGTTTTTGATTTTCTC